TTGTCACTGGAAATTGTTTGCACTGTTTATATATTTATATTATTTACTGTAGGTATTGGTGAAAAAAGCTTGTTTGAAAAATGTTGTGAAAATCTTGAAATTAGAATTGTTGTGCCTTATTTTGTTGATGTTTTTACATATATTCCTTTTGAGAATACTAAAATTTGTATATTAATTTATTTTTGTTTGTCTGGTAGCATTTCTAAAATCTGACATTTCAAACAGTTACTCGCTACTTGAGTAGTCTTTTCACCAAGTACTTTACTCTTACTCGAGTAACTTTTTTGAAGACTACTTTTCACTTTTACTTGAGTAATAATATTTCAAAGTAATGCTACTCTTACTTGAGTACAATTTTTGGATACTCGACCCACCTCTGTAACCGGGGCATGATCAGAAATGACGATTGGATCATATTTACAGTCTGTAATAGCACTCAGTAAGTAGGGGCCAACCAGAAAAAAATCTATCCTAGAAAATGACTTGTGCACATTGGAGTAAAATGAATACTCCCTTCTAGTGGGATACTTAAATCTCCAAGGGTCTACAAGTTTATGTGACTCTACGAACGACTGAATTGTTTGCACAGATTTAGATGGTCTTAGCAAAGATTGGGAAGAGCGATCCCAAACAGAATCCATTACCAGGTTGTAATCCCCAGACATAACCAGATGATAACTATCCAGATTGGGAATGGAGCTTAGCATTAGCGCTCAGCCTAAGTTGGAGGTTTAAGTGTCGAGCTTAAAGGTTTGAGCTCCGGGGGTCTGTGTGCCGGATGGGCTGCTTAGCCCAGGCTAGAGGTTTAAGGGCCGAGGGTCTGTGCACCAGAGGGGGTCATTCAGCTCAAGCTGGGGGTTTGAGCTACATGGTTCTGCACACTAGAGGTGCCCGCTCAACCTGAGGTGGAAGTTTGAGCGCAGAGGATCTGCGCATCGGATGGTCCCGCTCTGCCTGAGTCGGAGATTTGAGCACCGGGGGTCTGTGAGCTGTCCATACCTGCCACACCTGCACGCCCACTTCCTCATCCAGCACCGACTGCACCGCTGCTTCCAAGTCCAGCAGCGAAACACCAGCCATCAGCCAAGACCAATAATCACTGGCCACTTTCCAGGCCAACAGCTAAGGAGCTGTTGAGAGCCACAGGAGCCGTTATGTCATCACTGCCACAGGACCCAGGGCAGGCCGGTTGATCTGTAACACCAAATGTCACTGGACCCGGGGCAGGCTGCCTGAGCCGCAATGCTGCCGCCACTGGTCTCATGGCAGGCCGCCTAGACTGTTTTGGTGCCACTGGACCCATGGGAGGCCGCCTAAACGGTGTTGCCGGTGTTGCCACCAACCAAGTTGGCCACAAGAACTTGGCTTGTTGGACTGTGTGCCCTGCTGGGTTTTTTAATTGTTTGGACTAAGGCTCTTTTTGCCTTTGATATTGTTTTGAGTCCTTCGTCCTGGAAAACCCGCCCCCCAGCAGGCCTGAAGGTGCCTGCTGGGGGGGGGGGGGGGGTTCATTTATTATGCAAATGTAGTGTTTATAAGATTGGAGAAACATGCAGTCAGCTGAGACTGAAGAAGTCTCTGGGATGGGTGATGAAACGTTTGTCCCACTGAAAACGCTACGTCCAGATGAACAGAATCAACTTCTGGGATTTCCTTACCTGGATGATTGAGCATGCATCAAGATATTACCCACAATTACTTAGGTACACGAGAACAAAGGGACAGCAAGTCAGTTTCTTACAGAGGAAGAAAAAAATAAATAATTATACTGCAATTAATTTTAAGCAGTGTGTAATTATTCAGAAAAAAACCCGGAAAGACACATCACATCTTTCTACATTTTATTTTTCATAGGATTCAGTCAGTCATTTTATCCAGGCAGTATGTAAAAGATTAAAATTTATAACTTAAAATAAAAATATTTTTACTGCAATGTAGAAGAAATGTAGGTCTGTCTCTTCATGGAGCAAAACACACTCACATCCTGTAAGAAAACACAGACCACTGAAAACTTTACACATGGGTAAGAAAATATTTAATTTTCCACGTACTGCCTGTTTAAAAATGGCACAAATTTATCAATTTACCTTTTTTCTTTACTGTAACATTAAAAATTGCAGGAGGGGTTGTGTCTTTGTGGAGCAAAACAGACTCACACAATATTGTAAGACAATAGAGCCCATTTAAAACACATTTCATGTGAGTTACAATAGAAGTGGCACCAGCACCCAACTGAAAATTACCTCACGATGAACAGCCAAATAAACCAGGGTTTTGATGTGTCCTTGATCCATCATAGATGATTTAGAAATGTTAAATTATCCGCTTCAAAATGTCTTGATGTTGTCCAGAGGCCTGGTAATGAAGTAATCATGTGATTCAGGTGTGTTGACCCAGAGTGAGATCTAAAACCTGCAGGGACACCAGCCCTCGTGGACTGGGATTGGGGACTCCTGAAATAAACAGTAACAGGTCTGACAGTTTGACCCAGAAGGTGCACTCTTCTGACATTTTGCTTTTCTTGTGATCAGATGACGGGAGTAATGTTTGCTCTGTATGCTGTTTGTGGACACAGCCAGTGAAGTTTAACTTGCTAAACTTGGAAC